CCCCCAGCCAAACCTTCCGACGGCGGGTCCGGCAGGATTATTGTCTCGGAAAGAGGCGAGTACTCGAAGGTTGTGTCGCTTACAAGCACGAAGATCCATTTTGACGAGATCTCAGATACACTTTATTCACGCCCTTCTCTTCCGACAAGGCTCTCCAAGCTCGTGAGCTTTGCGAAATGCTTCAAGGGTCGTTTCAATCACCATGTTGAGAAATCTTGTGATCAAAGGAAGAGTAAGAGGAGGTATGTGACAGTTAGTTCAACTGTGGTGGAGAAGTTGCAGAGAGTACCAAGATGGTCCGATTGCCATTGTGGGTTTTGCATTTCATGGGTTTCTTCTTCAAAAGATTCACTCTTTGTAAGAGTTCAACAACCCAAAGGTAATTGACTTCACCAATATATATATGCACATTTACGTACATGGACATTGTAGTAAATCCAAGTTATGCTCTGTTTGCTCGTGTATTGGTGCGGGGAGATGTACGATGCAGCATGCAAAGTGTGGCCCTTTATATGTAATGCAATCTATCTAATATTTGGGTAATTGCAATGTTGTTATCGTAGATGTTGACTGCATGCTTGCGAATAAAACAATAAATAATGTTGGAACATGCAGATAGCAAGGCGCAAGAAAACGTGGTGTTCATCCACGGGTTCTTATCATCGTCAGCGTTTTGGACGGAGACGGTGTTCCCAAACTTTACAGAAACAACGAAATCCAAGTACAGGCTGATAGCGATAGACCTGTTGGGATATGGGAGAAGTCCGAAGCCAAACGACTCGTTGTACACCTTGAGAGAGCACTTGGACATGATCGAGAGGTCAGTGATCTCCGAGTTCAGGCTGAAAACATTCCACGTCGTGGCTCACTCCTTGGGCTGCATTTTGGCTATTGCCCTCGCCGTCAGACATCCCGGTTCCATCAAGTCCCTCACCTTACTCGCCCCTGTACGTTCCTCCTCTTTTTTTTTTTTGGGAAAAAGCTCTGGCTGTTCCAGTCAGTATATTGATAAAGGAAAATGAAAAACGCACGCAGCCGTACTACGCGGTGCCAAAGGGAGTGGAGGCGACGGGGTACGTGATGAGAAAGGTGGCTCCGAAGGAGGTGTGGCCGCCGATATCCTTCGGTGCTTCGGTGGCGTGTTGGTACGAACACATCAGCCGGACAGTGAGTCTTTTGCTTTGCAAGAACCATCGCCTGTTGGATCTTCTCACCAGACTCCTCACCCGCAACAGGTAACCCTTTCATTACTAATCAATCATTAATGGACAAAATATAGAAAGAACATATCTAACACCAACATGTTTGACAAAATACTTGTTTATTTATATCAGATAACGTTAAAAAAAATTGTCTTGCTTTCATATTATTATTTTTATTAAAATTGAATTTTGAGGTGTTACGAAGCTATCTGATTAGTTGGTCCGCAACGGCTATCAAAATATGTGGTAACGTTATAAAAAAAAAACATCCGTCTGGATTTTCCACATCTAAAATTTTAAAGGATGGCTAGGCAATAATATTATAACAAAAAAAAATTGAAAGCAACGGGACAATAATATATGCAGGATTCGAACGTATTTGATAGAAGGGTTCTTCTGCCATACGCACAACGCGTCATGGCACACGTTGCACAACATCATATTCGGCACGGGAAGTAAACTGGACGCCTACTTGGACTTTGTCCGCGACAACGTGGACTGTGACGTCAGCATCTTCCATGGAAGCAGGGACGAGGTCATCCCTGTGGATTGTAGCCACAACTTCAAGAGGAGAGTGCCACGTGCTAGAGTCAACGTAGTCAACGACATGGATCACATCACCATCGTCGTGGGCAGACAGAAGGAGTTCGCCAGGGAGCTGGAGGAGATTTGGCGGAGGTCCTGCCTTTGAGAATCTTCTCTATTTTTTTTCAGTGAAGGAGAAGAATCGAAGCCTATGTATTTGCACCTGCTTTTTCTGTAGATATACGGCTTCCAAGTCGCATATTGATTACTTTAATTACGAAAAGTTTGGCATTCGCTTTTTCTATCATATTGTATAACATAGATCAATTAATATCATCCTTGTTGTAAAACACCGGTCATGTTTTGTTGGAAACAAGTATTACTTAGACATCGAAAACATCGTACACGTCTACATGTTAGGATTACTTCTTGTCCATTTTACAAAGATATCTGTTTTTTTTTTTGAATAATTTGGCATTTGCTAGGTATAATATGCATGTATAGGGAAAAACCCAGATGACTTGGTAAAGAGCATGGTCAACATACCGAGAGGTTGAGGGTTCGATTCCTTACCATTCACCTGTCATTTGTCAGTTATGACTGATTTACCTCTCACGTGTATGTTGCAGGCTCTTGCGCGTGGGAGTAAGGTTTTACTGTTCGCGATACTGTCAGATGTCGTTTCCGCCCGATCTATTGGGCTGAAAGGCGTTACAGTGTCCGGTATCCGCCCCGAAGGGCTGTAGATCAGATTCCCTGTCACTTTTTCTAGTGCTTGTGATATATTTGAGTATATCAGAGAGTGTTTTAGATAGAGTAACAAATAGATCCGAGAGTGAAAGAAGTATAATGTCAAAAGGTTTGAGAATTGTGAAGAATAATTCTCCAAATCTTGTTATTATTCTAGTCAATGTACATATATATATATATATATATATATAAATAGAATCAAAGAAATAAGGCAAAAATATAAATCACAAACGGCTACTATATATATGTATGGAATGCAATCTTCTATCTTGAATCAATCTTGTAGATTTAGATCTTCATTCATGGAAAGTGGGAAACGGCTAGCTGAGTTGGCAGCCACCTCATCAATCCTTCCATGCATGTTTGAGTGATCAAGTTCATGCCTTAAGATCATCACCACATCTGCATGTGCATATGAGCCAAATATCTTGTCATGTTAACATTCCCCCTCAAGATTGGCTTGAAGATTTTTCGAAAGTCCAATCTTGAAGAGCGAATAATTTTTTTTTTTGTACTCTTCCAATTTCGCCATTTTTGGATGTCATCGAATCTTTGAAATGTTGCTCTTAGTTCATCCACGATTCCATGGTAGCCATTGTTCTTCCTTGAGCATGTTAACAAACGGCTCAACAACTCCTTATTGGTCATAAGGACTTGTTCAAGTATCCTCCAAGATGGCTCCTTTGGTTTTAAAATCTGTAATTCAATAAAATCAACATTAGTGTCACATTTGAATGAATATGAGAGCTTACCTTTATTTTGAAGATTTATTTTCGATTCCCCCTTAAATCGAATCCAAGTTTTATTGGGTGCATGGTGATCCCGATTGTGTATGAATATGAAGATGGCTCGTGGATTGGTTTGAGGTGACGAATAGGGTAGGAGTTTGGTCTCCATGAGTTGTGCCTCCTCTTTGGGGTTCTTTGCCTCCGTCTTGGGATCATCTAACTCCATGGACGACTCCGCTCTCCCTTCTTCTTCTTCTACCTTTGTCTCCAATGTGTTAGAACCTACTTCATTGCTTGCATTTTCTTCCTCATCCATATACTCATTCTCGACTATATTTGTTTTATTTTCGGCCAACGTTGTTTCATTTTCGGTCATAAGAGAGCATGGATCCCAATTATCATAAGGATAATCTATCCATTCTCCATAACTCACCATTGTAGGCTTCATATGAGTTAAAAAGAATTCTCGGACTGTCATCTCCGTAAGCTCATTCTCTGAGTAATTCGTGGTTTCATTCCATCGAGCCAAATGATCTTTAACCCACAAAGATCTCACCTCTTGTATGGTGAGTGATTCTTTTGAAGTTAAGACCTGCATGGTTAGTTTATTGAATTTACCACTAAGTATACCGAGAAACATAAAAATCTTACGTTGCATGATGCTTAAATCCGGGTGGAGATTGTTGAGTTCGATCCACACAGCCTCATTTGCATGATCCCTCTCATCTTCATCTATCATCCCCCGAGCATCTTCAATTATTCGAAATTTTCGAATATACTCAAATGTTGCAACTATTTTGTAGTCTTCATGAGACAATACATACTTTGCCATTGTGGTTCTCCTCTTCGGTTTTATTTAGACCGAGAGGGCAGAGCTTTTGGTGGTCTTATTCCCTGATTTCACAGCGAAAAATTAGAAAGAAATAAACAAGATTCATATCACAAACACTTACCTCGAACCAGGCTCTGATACCATGTCACTTTTTCTAGTGCTTGTGATATATTTGAATATATCAGAGAGTGTTTTAGGTAGAGTAACAAATAGGTTCGAGAGTGAAAGAAGTATAATGTCAAAAGGTTTGCAAATTGTGGAGAATAATTCTCCAAATCTTGTTATTATTTTTGGTCAATGTACATAATATATATATATATATAGAATCAAAGAAATAAGGCAAGAATATAAATCACAAACGGCTACTATATATATGTATGGAATGCAATCTTCTATCTTGAATCAATCTTGTAGATTTAGATCTTGATTCATGGAAAGTGGGAAACGGCTAGCTGAGTTGGCAGCCACCTCATCAATCCTTCCATGCATGTTTGAGTGATCAAGTTCATGCCTTAAGATCATCACCACATCTGCATGTGCATATGAGCCAAATATCTTGTCATGTTAACATTCCCCAATATACCAAATAATAATAATATGCATGTGTATACATGTATGTGATCTAAAAAAGAAATTTAAAAGCTCCTACTTGATTCTGCTATCGATATAAGGATTCGGTCATCTTTTAGAACGGATCGATTTCCGTGCCCAAAAGTGAAAAAAAAAGGACGAATCGATTCCATATAATGTATGAACTGCAAACTTCATCACAGCAAAACACACTCTCTCTCTCTCTCTTCAAACTATGTGTGTGTGTATATACACATATACTGACATATACATATATAAAGAGAGAAACACTGAACCAAAAGTGAGAAGGAGAAAATATTCGACAGAGTGAAATATCGATTATTTCTTTCACCTTTGTTTGATGATGAAACAAGTGTGAGTCATACGTTTCCCCAAAAGCATTTGCAAGAATCCATTCCCACTCTTCCTTCTTCTCTTGAAAAGTTGTAAGCACATCTTACCTTTCCTTCTTTCTTTTTCTATGTCACACACACACACGCATATAATATAGTACATCGCATAATGGTGTGTATATGTATATGTGTATATATATATATATCGTTTTTCACGAAACTGACAAATAGTTTTTGTTTGATGAAAAGCTGGACCTTTGCAGCCATTAATCATACTTGGTAATTAAATCCATAAACTTAAACCCGGCGTGGAAAAAATGAAGATGATAGCGAAGTGGATTCCAAACTATATGGCAGTGGAGTAATTAGTAATTTTAAATGGGACTGGAAACGGGTCCATGATGATTAATAAAAAATTCGATCCATTTACGATTAATCCAACAGAAAAATGCACACATATACATATAAAAGTCATGTTGAAACAAATCATCACGTGCTCAATCGGTAACTCATCAGACCCATATAGAAGAGTTGATTAGCTGAATCTTGGGAGAAAGCCCTAATTAATTCATTGACAGCATACAGACGGAAAGTGTAAATTGATGGCTCTATTTGGTCTCTGACTCAAAGAAACATATGGAAATTAAGTGGCATCTAAAACCTTGATGACCTGAAAATGGAAAACCATGAAGAACATGCCATAGCATACCTGTATCAGACCCAGACATGAATAAGAAGCAGCAATTGGGGGGGATGAAGCCTGGTCCGACGTCATTAACATTGAAGATCAATCACCATAGGTTTGTTTATCCGATGAAATGAAATAATAAGGCGAGAGATCTGTGGTCAAGGGCCTCGAGCCAGACAACATTCCCCTCAATATACATTCATCAAAAAAAAAAAAAAATAGATAAAAGCTTCACCCCTCCACAAAAACCCTAGCTTTCCAATAGAGAGGTTTCAGCGCTCTAGAGAAAGTGATATATACGGTGACGAAATAAAACGAGTGAAAGATTATGGGAAGGGACGACGTACACTCAAGATTGTGGAAAATCGAAAATAAATCAAATTAAAAAGGCAGTCGAAAAAAAAAAGAGAAGGACAAAATATAAAGTCGTAAAATTCGGTGGACCCCAATCTCTCTCTTATGCTGTAAATTCGTTACGAGTATATACCGTCATTTGGTATGTAACGCTAATCTAATCTCGATGGCTATAAAATTAACATGGAAAATTTGCACTCTCAAATGCTTCATGGGGTAACTCATCACCCGAAACAGTTACCACACTCAGTTTATATTTTTTACAAGAAAGAACTTCTTTCCAAGATAAATTAATTAAGGCCCATTGCTGATAAAAAAAAAAATTATTAATATCGTTTTTCTTTTTTTACAGACGACGACAAAGAAGGGGAAATCAAGCCACGTGACTGCCTGTTGAAAAAGTCAATCCTGATTGATTTTCTTCTTATAGCATTCTAATTTATCCACACTGCAAGTTGGAAGGAATCGAATAATTACAGCATGATTACGTGGTTGTATTTGATGAGCATGTCATTTGAGTTGAATGAATGAATGAATGAATGGAAAATGACACATCACGTGACATTCACATGCCACACCACCTATTATAGATTCTTCGTCTTTTTTCAGCGTGGACAAATCACATTAAGTTTTAGTAACAGTTCCAGTTGGTTAAAACTCAATCTCAAAATTTCACCAATCAGTTAATGGTATTTACTTATCAAACATTGGGTAAAAGACCACTCTCTCACGAGGAGAAAGATGTGAAGAGGGAGTGGTTGAATGAAAAGCTGACCATATTCTGTTCCAATAGCAAAACGACGTTGCAAAAGAGACCAAAACCTTAAATGTCTAATACCATGCTTTATCAAGTAAAAAACCCCAAAGACCATTATTAAGGTTTCGGTAGCTAATGAAGAGACATTTTTGTAATGGGGAAGGGGCAACCATGTCAAGACTGACTATCACATAACATGTCTAACATAGGAACGAGGGACTCTGATGCAGGCGAAATCAGAAGATTGTAACCACAAATCTGCATGCATGCATGCGTGCATTCATTCATGTACGTGGTTTGGTCAAATGCAAAGCAATACGTATTCTCTACCTGTCCAACGCCAATTCTCGTGTATCATCACAACTCAATCAGACCCCAAAGAACTTCAAAAATGTCATTTTAACCTCTATATCAATATCCCTTCCTTTTTAGTTCAAAACTCAAATCACAGTTTTGGCGAGCAAGAACTTCAAAACCATCCTACAAAAAACATGGATTATATACATCTGCATGGAAACCCCTCTCCCCTTTCAGAGCAGAAGATGCAGTGAGAATTTTCAAACTACAAGTAGAAACATGGGGCAGTGCTGAAGAGAACTGATTGATATTTTATAGAAATTCAGGCGAACTCAAGGCTGTAGTACATACATAATGATCTATACTCAGAGTTTATATATAATTTGCTGCAAAGGTAAATAAATGGACTCTTTATACCTCATTATTCTCCACTTTCAAATCCCCATTTGGCAACATATTCTGGGATTGAGCCAGTCGTTTTGCTTCCTGTATTCATATGAGAAGTAAACATCACCACCATGACTTGCAATATCTATAATATATATGTGGGGATGTTAAAATAGAATATCATATATCAAATGTAGAAAAAGGAAGTTTACAACTTACGGCAGCAGAAGTAGCACGGATCTCTCTATAAGTCTCGACTTCATCGGGAAACACTTGGTCAAGCTCCTCCAGAAGATGCCTTCTCAATCCCTGTCCAAACCACACACAATACATTATAAATGAAAAAAAAAAGAAACTACTGTACAAGAAACATAGCAAACAAGATCAAATCCAGCAAAAACTAACCTTAAAAGCGTCAGTCTTGCCCTTTGTGACTTGATTTCTGGCTATGCAGCTATTTATAACATCCCTTGTGAACTCATCCGGATTCTTCCCATCATCAATTAAACTGAACAGGCAATCAACATCACAAACGTCATCAAACAAGCAACAAAAGAAAGAAAAAAAAGGACCTCCTAATATGTTCTTTGTTGGGGGGTGGATTTCTATCTCACTTGAGAACCTCCATGGGCACTTGAATGTTGCACTTCTCGGACAACTTGGCCATGTTATCCAACTCCATCACAAGAGAATTGCTGCAAAAACACAATACTTTTTTGCATTAAAAAAAGACACCCAGCCCAACTAAGACAGAAAACATGAAAACCCAAGAAAGGATCAATCTTGAAGAGAACATGAAAACCCAAGAAAATATCAAATTTACAGGCGCTGGAGGAGAGGCAGCTGGGACGCAGGATTGAATGAAGAGACAGTAAGGTATAGTTGGTGGAGGAGTCCCAAATTTTTCTGAATGGAGTTTATGACTTGGTTCAGGTTCTCCTTCGGATCATCCACCGCAGCCGCCGCCCCATCGCTTGTTTGATAGCTCATCGTACCATTGCTCCCGCTCCCACCAATCCCAGAAGTAGCGTTCTGCGACGAATCCATCACCGAGCTCGATTCACTACTTCAACCCTAACCCTCCAAACCAATCGGCTGACACAAGAAGTTGAAATACGTATTAGCGCAAACCGGAAACGCAGGAAAGTAACAATCTTTAATCACCAAACCGACTCCAAAGACGTGATTGTAATTGCCCTCGACAAACAAGATCTGGAGATCAGCCGACGAACGAAGACGATAGAGATGGTGGTGGTGGAGAATAACAGAGAGTCCTACCAGTGGGAAAGCGGAAACCGACAGAGATAATGGCATCAGAGGGCGAAGATATCGGAAGATAATCAGGAACGACGGCGAGACCCAAACTACATACGCAACAGCGGCGATAGATCTTAAACGGATTAAGGATTCCTCGTTTTTCCATTTATTTATTGTGTTTTTGGGTGAAGGGCATGATTATTAGTGGGCATTGCCTTTTTCATACAAGGGATTTTTGGTTTTAATTTTTTGGATTTTGATTTTTAGTTTTTAGTTCTGGGATTTTATAATATTTGAAAATTTTTCAATAATTTTTTTTATAAAATGTTTTTTCAAATTTGTAAAAACTTTGAATATAGTTTTTTTTGGTTTTTAGATTTTAAAAACTCCAAAAAATCCGATTATAGTTTTTTTTTCCAACCAAACATATTCCTTCATTGGTTATCTTTCATTAGGGTGTCAATCGACCCGATTCGAAGTGTGCAGTCGGTCCGAGAGTATCTGGTTTGGATTCGGGGTTCAAATTTATAAAATCAGGCTTAAACCCCGACCCTATAGAGTTCGGGTTCCGGATACTTTTTTTTTATAAAAAACTCTGTAAATTCAAAACAAAACAAAATTAGTTGTAAACAAAAAGCAGATAGACAGCAAATCAAATCTCATTTGATAAATATATTATATAACATAATATAAAAAATACAAAAAAAAAGTTGTCGACAGAAGATAAAATCTTTAAAAATCTTCAAGTTTAATTCAAAACCAAAACCAGTAATCTCTCGATAACAAGACAAAACCAAACGAGCAATTTCCCAATAACAAGCGCAGACATTTGAAAAGAGATGAAGGGAATAGTGACAGAAGCCATGAAAGTTAAGGCATAGATCTGCCATGGAGACAAGAACTGCAGAGATAAGTTCAGTTCTAGGGTGTCTGAAACCGGTAGACCTTCAGCCAGTATATATTCGACCGTCGTCGACAGAGAGACAGACGGGTGGCCGTCGTCGTCGACAAACGAGAGAGAGAGAGAGACAGTGGCCGTCGTCAACAGAGGGAGGCGGCAGACGAGACGCAACTCTCGTCAACCCGGACGGGAAGAAGAAGAAGAGACTTACCGGCGGCGAGAGAAAGGCAGATGAGAGACAGGGTGTGTGTGGTGGCCGTCGTCGTCCATGGAGAAGAAAGAGAGCATATTAGGACTAGCCCCAAGCCTGGACGAGCTTAACCCTATCAAACCAGAATCCGGTTTAAACCCGAGCCGAAAATGCAAATTTTTTCGTAAATATTTTTCAGAGGGATTTGGAACGGGTTTCGGACCCTATTTTACATTTGGCAAGTGCTCCAATTCCCCATGGTATCTAAGAAGTATAAAGATTGATTGCAATGTTTGATATACAATTCAAATTACGATGCCAAGATATCTAACAAATTTAGTGAAGGGCAATGCAAATTCAATAGAATTATATGCTTTTGTTTTCTTAGAATGAAATAGTCTCAGAGAGGGCATACTAGTTTAGGAAACCGGGCAGGCGGCCTCTTGAATTCTACAAGTAGCCCTCTCCATATCCATTGAGAATGTCTGAAGAGGGAGTAGCAACTGACTACACGGGTATATGATGATCCAAAGGAATCTGCAAACTCTCGGGGCCAGAGGAGGAAGAAGAAGCAACGTCAGCTCCTGTCTCAAGATGATGAAGGAATTCCATAACAAGAGGATCAGTCCAAGGGGCTCCCGTTGGAGATTCAGCACCCCCCACCCACCCCAAATGCCCTCCTTTTGGGGTTACTACCAACAAGCAGTTGGGATTTCCCTGATACATGTCATAATAATAAGAATATCATCTTCCATTCCATGGACTTAGCATGATACTACCACCAAGCAGTTGGGATTTCACCTTTATATCCTCGCGAGGTATCCCCCTGTTGGGCGCAATTGGATCATTTGCTGCCTGCATAATCGATTATGAGCCAAGTGAGAGCTTTAACTCAGGACAACACTCGTCTGCCTAACTGCTTTACACCCCCAGGACATAGACAGCTTGAGAAGGTATAATATATACTCCTAAAAAAACTCAATGGTGGGAAGTAGATGTTTAGCATAGACTTTAGAAAGGGATATGGGTTTCACCTGAATGCAAAGCAGAGGAGTATTGACATATTTGATACAGTCTGAGCTGCTTGAGTTGGAATAGTAGTCATCCACAGATTTGAAGCCGAATGACACTGTTAGATTAGATAAAAGAAAGAAAAAAACTCTGTCAGGAGATCCTGTTGCAGCTTTGTGTGCATCAAAATCTACCTCAAAATTCTTTCTTTTTTCATTCCGAGACATTACAGTAATAAGAAACTTAAAAAGCAGATAGGGAGCTCACCGCGGGTTAAACCTTCATCAAAGTCTCGCACAGTCTTGGCATTTGCAGCCATGGGAATGTTAAATTCACCTCCTATGTCTTCAAAAAGAAGAGCATGCCTGCAGCAAGATGAGTACTGCCGGTGACCATGACTAACTTGCAGAACAAAGATAACATCACTATTGGAAAATGAGCCCAGGATGCAAATTTTTTTACTTTCTAAAGATTCTACGCAGAGCTCTTGCGAGAGCCTTGTCGTAAACATTGTTAAATCCCTTACGGAAGTCTTCGTCAGCTATGACCAAATTGAAAGGATTGCACAGTGACACAGCTCCAGAAAGTGGGCAGTTATGAGATTCCTGACAGAGAAGAAAAGGAACCATAGCTTAGGATTGTTTGTGGACGTTGGGCAAACTATTGCAGCCAAACCTGGGACTGGGAGGGGCTCTAGAAAACAAACAGTGTTTAATCATCTATCTAGTTCCACAAAGTGGCATGAGTGATAAGTAACCACAGCCCTGCTCTGTGGATTAAAGTGTAGGGCATAGATATCCCACGTGGGCTCACCTTACCCAGATAGCGCACAAGAATATTTCCCCCAAGAGACCATCCTACAGCATACAAGTTGGCTTTAGGGTATTTGTTGCCGACATGGGCAACTACTTCACGAATATCTCCTAAAAATGAAGCCGAGTAGAACTGCACTATCAGTACCATTAAAAAACACACATTGTTCAGTTGACCGATCCCTGGAAAAATAAGATGCTAAGAGATAGGGCTAAACGGTCGTCCATGTAATAAGAAACGACACACTTCTGCTACCAATGTCAACAAGAAAAAAGACTAAAGTAATCTCGAATCAGACCTGAGGAGTAATGACAGGGCTATTTCCACAACCACGGCTATTGAACACGACAACACGCCAGCCTTTGCTCTTAGCCCCCAACAACATATGCCTCACATACGAATCCTGACTCCCTCCTGTTAAACCTGGCTGCTCAAAATACCACTCCAATTATCCATCAACTGTACTAAGCACAGGACAAAGGAAGTACGAAACTTTCCGGGACACTCACAGTAAATCTTAGTTGCAATGTAAAGACTTCAGTTGGGAATGTTACTCTGAGTCCTAAATCCTACAGTCTCTCAGTGGCATCACTATATTCGATAGAGACTGACGAGCGCGTAAAAGAAGATACGAGAGACAACCAAACGCGCACCATTTCTCATTCAATTATCAGGAATTGACTAAACTGTTCCATAATCAAACAGTAAACGGAAAGCATCAAAGGTTTCTATACCAGCAAAATGAGGACTGGAGAACTGGGAGGGAGGCTGCGCTCATCTCCGGCTACCCAATCGAGAGCGACGGATCCGCCGTCCGTCGTAATGAGGCACTCCCGGCGGAGCCTGACCGCGGGAACGGAGCGGAAGAATGCGGCGAAGATGGTCTCCACATGTCGGTTGAATCCGACCAGAGGAAAAGGCTCATAGGGCTTAACGAGGTACTCCTTCAGCGCCGGAAAGAAACGGTCGCTCCCGCCGCCGATGACCTCGAGGGACCGCTGGTGGTCGTGGCGGCGCGTCTCCGGGGTCCACGAATCCCCGGCGGAGGAGGCAGAGACCGGTCGCCGGAGACAACGTACGCTGGTTACCGGAGCTGAGGAGGCAAAGGCGGCTCTCGCCATTGGTCCACTATGGAGAATGGCTATGGCAAAGCAAAGCGACACGTTTCAGACATTCAGTGGCTTTCCGCGGAAAATCATGTATTCAACCCGTGTTATGTACGTGTAATTGCACCCCTAAAGTTTTGAAACTATTAGAAAAATAACCTACAGTACTATAATTGACTTTTTACCCCCCCAAAAGGGAAAAATTAGTCAAACGATTGAAGGGCCCATTACAAAATTGAGCCCAAAACCGCGAAGACATGCGCTTTCCTCGTCTGTTTCCTGTGGCCGAAGGAAGCAATCTCTCAGGGGAGGGGGGGCAGAGAGAGCTCAGCGATTAAAATAGTGGTAAAATCAGCTTATCTTCAATGGAAAGATAGACAGGGGAGAGAGAGAGAGATCAGAATCTGTGAAGAAAAATTGAAGAGAGATTTTGTAAAGCGAATCCCTAGTTTGGGGGATGGTGTTGGGACCACTGCGATTGACGAAGAGCCAGAACAAACTCGTCACGACTCTGTGCGAGGGAGCTGCCGCCGTGGTTCCGCCGGCGCCGGTGATCGTCTTCTTCTCGTTGATGGTGGTCTTCTTTACCGGTGACGGCGGCTTCGGGAGATGGATCTTGTTCGCCGAGGGTAGCAGCGGTGGAGCTGCGAAGAACGGCTTCTCCGGCGGCGGATTCTGGTCTTCGGCTGTTGCTCCTTCTAATGTCGGTTTAGCTGTCGCCGTCACGGCCATGGCCGGAATTGCCGTGGCTGCTACGGTCGTCTACTCTCGTAGGTAAAAGTTGAAATCACTACAGATTTCGAATTGAAATACCAGAGGATCTGATTGTGTTTCTGAATGATGATGTTCAAAGTGGATAACCGAAGCTTGTGTGCTCTTCTTTATGCCGAGTTAACAATAGATTTACTAGTTAGATAGGTATAGATGGATATGCTAGGGAAAGGGAATTCATCTTAGGCAGCCACCGGGCCAGGTCACATGCCTTCTCCGGCTTCCCCATCGAATCTCTCTTCTTCATCTCCGTCCTGAAAACATTTGAGATCTGTTTATCAGTAGTTGCTCCTTTGTCACTGTCGTCTTCCTCATCGGTTTGTGTCTAAGGTGAGTTCATGGCTCTAGATCCATGTCTTCCTTTCTTGCAGTTTCCAGGGCCTCTAACCAAATGAAGTTCTCTGTACTGTTTAGTGGATCAGTTATAGCTGTCTGTCCTATTGTTGTTGGAGTTATAGGGTCCTATAGGCTGATCTTCATTCTGCCCACAAAATAATTCTTGAGCCTATATAGAGCGGAAGATCATTGGGAAAAACGGTCTTTTCATAAGTTTATCTTACCAACCGAAATTTGAAAACTGTAGTCAATTATTCTTCTCTTGCTACAACCAAAGAAGTGAGACTACTGTATAAGTTGCCAATATAACAATGAGTTATGCGGACCATATACAATTGGAATCTTTTAATTTATGGCTCAAATGAGATCTTCGCATTGTTTTGCTTTTCTCCTTTCCCTGTTGTGGTTTATTATTCTTGACTGTTCTGAGCTATCTGATTTTACCTACTTGTTGATTCCTCATTTCTTCAAGCTCTTACAGTTGATGGACTTTACTAGTGGCGCCAATTGAATAGCATGGTATTTGCATTCATTAACATGTATGAATGTGTAGGATAACATGCAATGTACCATGTTTGTTTGTTTGAACAAAGTCAACATTCAATCACATGTTTTCCCTTGAAATCCACATCTCTCTGTGTAATGTTTTCAATGTTTATGAAATCATCTTTGCATTAACGAGTCCTCATTCTCTGCTCATCTGCTTTTTCAGAGGAAGTCTCAGATCACCCTTGTCACGGTGGAGAAGAAAGAATGCCCTTCAACCTAAGCAGTGGCATGGTTTTTTCACACCAGAAGGAAGACTCTGTGACGGAGGCATCAAATTTCTGAAGAAAGTTCGCAGTGGGGTGCGTTGCTCAAAACTATATTTTACTGCCTTACATTAGTTTTGCTGCATTTGTAACTTGCAACTCTACTTTCACCAATATGTGTCCATCATATTCATTCCTATTTTCTTTTCAGGGTGTTGATCCAAGCATTAGACCAGAGGTTTGGCCCTTCCTCCTTGGAGTGTAAGAATCGTCATCTGTGTTCTTGTTCTGTTTTGGGTGTCTCGAAGGCTGAAGTTAGATCTTCCTCTTTGTGATCCTTGATGGGTTTTTGAGTTTTTTTTTTCTTCTGATAAGCCTTGTGTACATTGAACCTCTTCATGGTGTTGAAGTGTAGTTTAATCGTTTTGCTTTTACTTATTGTACAATAAATAGCACACTGCACACTAGAAACCTACTGTCTGTTTATGTGTTGAGTGATGATAATTGAGTGACTACATTATCTTGGCAGGATGGCCTTCCTCTTGAACTGTGGGCCATTGTTTATGTTTCCTTTCCAGAGATTTAATAAGTGATTAGTCCTTTTCTTGACATATCTCCAGGTTTCATAGTCTTGTGATTCCCTTCCCCAGCCATCACTTTAGCAATTCATTGCTTGATGATTACTATCCCAACGCTTTACCAAGGAACTTTTTCCTTTAGATTTTTGTCATCATAGTTTCATTCTGTTTACTTCTTGCAGATTTGATTTAAACAGCTCCAAAGAAGAAAGAGATTCTGCTCTGCAGCAGAAACGGTATTTTTTCCCCCTCAAATTCACCAGAAATTTTGGCTTCTGGTCTTGCTTCTCCCAATTCCTCACTCACCATGTTTATCTATTCTCGTTTAGTTGCAGCTGCTTTATCTTCCTGTATATATTGAAGCAGTGTGAGATGAGGATTATGAAGCTTCCTTTTTATATTTCAACTTAAATCTATGCGTTCCACGTTTCCTTATATATTTTTTTCCGCTGCTCTATATCTCCTGCAGGAAGGAATATGAAAGCCTGCGGAAGCAGTGCCGTCAAACTCAGAAACGAAATGAAAATGAATCCACCCCAGAGCAGAGTGTCTATGGAAGCAACACAGAGGATAGCTCAGAACTCAGTCAGGTTGTTGATTATGGGGATCATGAAGATGTTAGTTCCAGGAGATCCATTTCCATGGAGGAATCAGAGCAGTCGAACTCTGACTCTGTTGTGCAGAATGGGGAATGCGAAGAAAAGAGCATGGTCACCTCCGAAGATGCTTCTGCCAGCGACTCAGATTCAAGTGAACCTGAGTCCTTGCAAGAGACTGAAACTTCACCTCTCCTATCCACTGAAGAATCAGGAGTTCATGACATTGTTAAGCAAGAGAAGGAGAAATTGTCTCTGTCAAAGCCCAAAACCCACACAGATGAAGACTTTGCGACGTGGCAGAGAATCATCCGCCTTGATGCTGTGAGAGCCAACGACGAATGGGTGCTCTACTCGCCGTCTCAAGCTGCTGTGTCAGAGACAAAGGCCCGGCAGCTAGCCATTCGGGTGAGTCTGAAAGACTATGAACACCTAGAGCCCTGCAGGATATACCACGCAGCACGGTTGGTGGCGATCCTGGAAGCCTACGCGATATATGACCCAGAGATCGGATACTGCCAAGGAATGAGCGACCTGCTGTCTCCGATAATAGCAGTGATAGAAGATGATGTGCTAGCATTCTGGTGCTTTGTTGGGTTCATGAGAAAAGCAAGGCATAATTTCAGGCTTGATGAGGTGGGGATACGTACACAGCTGACGCTGGTGTCGAAAATAATAAAAAGCAAAGACATTCACCTGTACAGGCACCTGGAGAAGCTGCAAGCGGAGGACTGCTTCTTTGTGTACAGAATGGTGGTGGTTCTATTCAGGAGGGAGTTGAGGTTTGAGCAGACGGTGTGCCTGTGGGAGGTGATGTGGGCGGACCAAGCAGCGATACGTGCTGGGATAGCCAAGCACGACACGTGGGGGAGAATCAGGCTGGGATGGGCTCCTCCTACGGAAGACCTGTTGCTGTACGCCATAGCTGCGAGCGTACTGCAGAGAAGGAAGACGATAATAGAGAAGTATTTCAGCATGGATGAGATAATGAGGGAGTGCAACAGCATGGCTGGCCATCTCGATGTTTGGAAGCTTCTTGACGATGCTCATGACTTGGTTGCCCATCTTCACCACAAGATCTGATGATGATTGAGTGACAGACAACATTCCTCTGTTATCTACTTTTCTTTTCTTTTCTTGGTTCAATTCACTATCAGAAAATTGGGGATGTACTATATATATGTAGAAGCATTGTCGTCATTTTTTTACGGCAGCTATTGTTATTTTGTTATTCAAGATTCCGTATGTCAATGTTTCTCCTCACTTGCACAACACAATAGAGTTGCCTTTAATATTTCGGCGCATTACTGGCTGAAATTTTGTTCCTGGGAAATGCTCGATAGATGGAGCGGCCTGTTGCATCTTTTTCATAGTTATATCTATCGCAACTATGCTGATATGAAGCCCATTATGACGCACCTGAGGCCCAATATCCTCAATCTCCCTCCTCGACTTTCCCAAATGTTTTCCATTTCATTTTTCAAGTCATAACTTCTCTCTGTCTTCGCCGCTCTCGGAGATCATGTTCATGGCGTCTCTCTCTTTTTCCTCTCCTTCTCTTTACCGGAAACCTCCTCTCTTTTCTTACTCTCGCTCTTCCTCTCCTTGTCCCCTCCCTTTCCCTCACAAGGTTATCCTCTTCTTTCTTTGCTTTTTTTTCCTTTTGTTTCTCCTTCAAATTGTTGTCCCCCCCCCTTACTCCTCTTCTTTTGTGTCTATGTACTAGTTGCGGAGCAAAGTTGATCAAGGTATATGCAGAGCGGATTTCTCCCGCGACGCTCCCCTCGCCACCGCCATTGGCTCCTGCATTCTCAGCTCCTTTCTTTTGCCGGTGGCTAAGCGAGTCGGCGACGAAGAAGAAGACGACAGTTCGGCGATCGTCTCAACGGACATGAGATTGGCCGCCATGGGAATCATCAGCTTCATCCCTTTCTTCAATTGGCTGGTTCCCTCCGTTTTCTCTCTGAAATTTGCAATTTTCATCTGTTTATGTAACCTTTCGACTTTCTGCTATGTGACAGAGTTGGGTTTTCGCTTGGCTTGATACTGGTAAAAGGCGATACGCTGTTTATGCTCTTGTGTATCTCCTTCCCTATTTGAGGTACGCTCCTTCGAATTTCTTCCTCTGAAAACCAATTTGATCGGAGAAGAGTCTGTGGAATTGGAGCAGAAGTGTAATTATACATTGATCACTTGTTGACATGCTGAGCAAACACTTCCTTCAATCTCTTTGTTCATCTTAACTAACTGAGACAAGAAGGTGTCAGAAACTAGGCATCTTCGTTCTAATTGGTGTGTAGGAGGAGGAGGATTATTCTTCTCTTACACTTTACAACCAAGTCAAGATCTTCATATTTTCAAAAGATATGCGCTTTCGTAATGCAACACATAAGAACCACTCCCTTTGCCCAATTTCCTAACAGCAGGTGTTTGCCGTTTCGATCTTTTCCTGGTTATTTTTTGCTTTAATTCTGCTCATAATATTGGCAGCTCAAATCTGTCAATTTCCCCAGAAGAAAGCTGGTTGCCCATCACAAGCATTGTCTTGGGCATAATTCATGTTCAGGTTCTGATTCATTCTTTAGCACTATCTTCATTGTCTAAATCATTTTATGAGAGTCTGAGCCTTGGTAGCTTTACCCATATGCAGCTTGAAGCAAGCATTGCAAATGGCGATATAAAGACACTTCAAATCTTCAAAAACCCTTCTGAAAATTTTTCGTCAAAGAAAAGGGCCCGATTTGACAGAAATCATGGACATTTTGAGGTGTGTTCAAAGTTCATTTTTTAATTGGCAAAAAAGGGACTGTTGGTCAAGGGTTTCCCGTTTCTGATTACAAGCCAATGTTTTATGTAAAATGTGCATTGAGTGAGTATGTGTATCTTTTAGAAGATTTTTTACTGCCAGAAAGAATAGAGTTGGGTTTGCTCTTAGACATAGTTTTCTGAATCTAAGTCTTACAAGCTTGTAACCATTGCATTGAAGGAGAAGGAGAAGGAGAAAGACGGCAAGTAGAATCTTACCATTTGGTGATCAAAATCTCAGAAATGAGGTTCACCGGCCAAGCAAGCCCTAAACACACAGAAGATCAGAACAGTAAGAGTTCATTGGCTCACGTATCTATATTTTATAGCTACAGAATTCCCCTGAAAATGTGGTAAGAAGAGAACATCTTGTGTTTATGACTTGGGTACGCTACGCATCTTGATGTCTTTACCTTGTACGACTTGGTCTTGGTTATTGTCTTCAATGATCAGTCACGGATTCGACCCGTGTGTTACTCTCTTCGATAATAGATTTTACAGAGGAGTTGTTCGGTGCATCCAAAAAATATGGTTATGTAGTGGAGAACTGGAGAAGTCTAATTCAAAACAAAATCAATGACATTTTAATTAAATGAAAAGGAAAATTCTGCCATTTAGATGATTTGGGTTTTGTGAGAACTGTCCCAAATGGAAACCAGATTGTATTGGGTTTTGGTTTTAAGAATTATTCATAATATTCAATTGGGTTGGGGAAATGGGCTGAAATCTATTTAGCCGGAATATAAGTAGGTATGCAAGTGAAGGCCCATCGGCGTTTGTTTTCATTGGGAGGTGATGTTTCCGCTCTCCAGAGGGTTTAACCAGAAACTCTTCACCTCCTTTCTTCCTCGACCTCTCGCAGCCATGTCGTCCTCCACCGGTGTCGCTAGGGTTTACTCCCCTCCTTCCTCTCCCTCTGAGGTCTCCGTCAAACGGGTCGGCACTCATAATGGGAGCTTCCACTGCGACGAAGCTCTCGGCTGCTTCATGATCCGCCTCACCGACAAGTTCTCCTCAGCCGATATTGTGCGTACTCGTGACCCCAAGGTACGACACCCTTACTTTGTTCGTAGGTTCTGTGATTCTTATTTCTGATTTCCTTCTCTGTCTCGGTGTTTGTAAGACGAAGGTGTTGTTGGGAAATGGAAACGAGGCTCTTTGGTTGATTGGAAAATTTCTTCGAGATTGGATGCGCATTTAGGTTTATGGAAATGATGGGGTCTTGTTTGGTTTCCGGGATAGTCTCTGCAATCTCCTTATAAAGTGTTTGGGACGCCGGATGGTTTGATATGGAGATGAATTTTATGAAATGGAAGCTCTAAGTAATTGAATGGCCAAGCTGCTTATCTAGTTTTTTTTCATAAAGAAATGGTGTAAATATAGCTGTTTGGTTGCATGAGTCGTCATAACACTTATTGTATAGAGATTGCTGAAATGCTGGATGAGCTTAATATCACGATCCCTAAACGTTGTGGTCATTTACACTTTTGGTGGTGGGATTGCAGGTACTGGCAGAACTTGATGCAGTGCTTGATGTTGGCGGTGTATATGACCCAAATCAAGACCGCTACGATCATCACCAAAAAGGGTTCGAAGAGGCATTTGGACATGGCTTCAACACCAAGCTCAGCAGCGCAGGTCTTGTTTACAAGGTAATTCTGTTCTGTTCTCCGAACGAACGTTCCTTTGCTTTATGATGTTTTCTTTGAAGTTAGGGTATGGTTAAATCCTCACAAGTATTCTTTCTAGAAGATGATTTTTTCTTTATTGCCACCCATTTATTGGGATATTGTTTGTTTGCTTTAGCACTTTGGTAAGGAGATCATAGCTAAGGAACTAAAAGTCGACCAAGATCACCCAGATGTTCAACGGTTGTTTTTAGCTGTCTACAAGAGCTTCATGGAGGTAACAACACAGATTATCCAGTTTCTGTCTCGGTTGAAATTCTTTTTGTCAGTGTTGTCTTGTATATCTGGGGTCACTGCTGTCACCAATCTTCTCTAGCATTTTTGACAATGATACTATTTTTTTGTTGCGTTGCGTATATGCAGATTGTTTACAGTTCATATATGTTTATCATTGTTAGTCATATGTATGTTTAGGGTGAGTAATGCGCTTCTTTATTTTTTCTATAATTCTGTCAGGCGATTGATGCAGTGGATAATGGAATTAATCAGTATGAGACTGATAAACCTCCAAGATATGTGAATAACACACATCTGTCTTCAAGGGTTGGAAAATTAAATCTGGATTGGATTGAACCTGACCAGTCACAAGAGAAGGAGAATGAGGCCTTCAAACGTGCAATGGTTCTAGCTGGAAATGAGTTCCTAGACGTGAGGCCTTTGTTGCCATAAATATTCTCTTCCAGTCTTTGAATGGCAGCTTCTCTGGACTGTCATATCTATAAGCTTATGATATGTTATCTTACATTGCAATGTAGAGTGTACGTTTTCATGCGAGATCTTGGTTACCGGCCCGATCGATTGTAATGAAGTGTCTTGAAGAAAGATTCAGCGTAGATCCGAGTGGTGAGATAATGGTACTGACAAAATTCTGCCCTGTAAGTACGAAAAGAACCTTTGATTGTCATTCCTTCTTGAGTTGTAATTTTACAATCTTTGATATTATTGACAATCTGAGAATGTGGGGTGAGCAGTGGAAGCTTCACCTGTTCGAGCTGGAGCAAGAGATGAAGGCTGAACCTGTGGTAAAGTACGTGATATACGAGGACGATAGGGGGAAGCAGTGGAGAGTACAGGCGGTGGGAGTGGCTCCGGACAGGTTTGAGAGCAGGAAGCCTCTGCCTGAGCAATGGAGGGGCCTCCGGGACGATGAGCTCTCCAAAGTCGCTGAGATCCCAGATTGTGTCTTCGTCCATATGAGCGGTTTCATCGGTGGTAATCATTCCTACGACGGCGCACTCTCCATGGCTCGAGCTGCCCTCTCCCTCCCCTGACTCTATCCTCTGATTCGTAAGAGAGTGGAGTTCCATTTTGCATTTTGAGTTTTGTTCTCTCTCTTTAATCAAGACTTCTGGAGCTGAGTGATGGTTTGTTCGTTTATGTGTGAGGGAGGTCTTCTTCATATCACTCGCACTAGACCACATGTAAACTGCCAAAACAATGGGTTATTATTATTTTATGGCTTTTACCCACAATTCATATTTAAATGCGATTTTGTTGATATGATTGCACGACTTCCGACGCAACCTACCAACTTCCATTCCCTTTGTTTTTTTCATCTTAATGCGATTTGTCAGCACCTTCCTCGCTCTGTATAAAATCACATATTTTCTTCTTCCTCTCTCTCTCTCTTTCCATCGATCGGAGAAAATGGAGGTTTTCTATTTCATGGTGTTCGGAGCTCTCGCGGCAGTGGTTGCCGCCTTGGAATTCAGTAAATCCAGCAAAGACCGCATTTCCACTTCCCCCGCCTTCGACTCCTTCAAGAACAGCTATCTCCTCGTCTACTCTCTCATGATGGGTTCGTAGATCTCTTTCCTTCCCTCTGGATCTCCTTCTCCTGCATTCTTCTTCCGCATTCAGCGCTGTTTTCTGTAGTCGATCTGTGATCGACGAAAATGCTGCCGGTATTGTTGGTTTTTGTTGTCTTGATTGTCTCGTCATACAATATCTTTGGTTCTGTTTGCCTATGTTTGGTGGTTATCGTTCGGTCTCGACGGAATCTGCTGCTAAATTTACGAATTATTCTGCGGCCTTAGCCGGGGACTGGTTGCAGGGTCCGTATGTGTACTATCTTTATAGTACATATGGTTTCGGGAAAGGGGAGATCGGTCAGCTCTTCATTGCTGGTTTTGGATCTTCAATGCTCTTTGGTACAATTGTGGGATCTCTGGCTGATAAACAGTACGCATTCCTTTCACTTCCAATGTTAGGATCTTAGTACAATGCTCAATTCCATGTTTGATTTGAGTGGTTGAGTGCTGTCTGGACTTTTAGGGGTCGGAAGAGAGCTTGCATCACATATTGCATCACCTACATCCTGAGCTGTATCACCAAGCATTCTCCCGAGTACAGAGTCTTGATGGTTGGACGTGTTTTGGGAGGTATTGCCACTTCTCTGCTGTTTTCCTCCTTCGAGTCTTGGCTTGTTGCTGAGCACAACAAGGTGAGCCCATGTCCTGAATGAATGTCGTTCCCTTCCGGTTCAAAATGTTTCCTGTTCATCTACTGATTGATCATTTGCTGTAATGTTTGGTGTGCAGAGGGGTTTTGACCAACAGTGGCTATCAGTGACTTTCTCCAAGGCAATATTTCTTGGGAATGGTCTGGTGGCCATCTTAGCTGGACTGTTTGGTAATTTTCTGGTGGACTCCGTAGGATTGGGCCCTGTTGCGCCATTTGATGCTGCAGCTTGCTTTCTTGCTATCGGTATGGCCATTATAATGTCTTCATGGTCCGAGAATTATGGAGATCCTTCAGAGAACAAAGACTTGATTACTCAGTTCAAAGCCGCTGCTTCAGCAATTGCTTCTGGTGAATCTCTTATCCAGCGTGGTTCTGAACATAACCATTTGCCTCTAACTAATATATCATTCTTGTTGGTCTATATTTCCTATATAATGATGAAAACATTGAAGGATATGAATGCATTAATCCACAATGATTCTGTGGCTGCTTACTTCTTTGCATTTGGGATCAGATGAAAAAATTGCATTGCTAGGCGCCATACAATCTCTCTTTGAAGGATCCATGTACACCTTTGTGTTCCTCTGGACTCCAGCTCTGAGCCCGAATGACGAGGAAATCCCGCACGGTTTCATTTTCGCAACATTCATGTTGGCTTCAATGCTAGGTAGCTCCATTGCCTCTCGGTTGATGGCACCTACGTCCCCAAAAGTAGAAAGCTATATGCAGATTGTATTTGTGATCTCTTCTGCAGCTCTGATGCTCCCCGTGATAACAAGCGTAGGCTCTCTAACTCGATATTTTTCTTTTCATAGTTTTTCTGTATTAAAGGAGGCTTGATGATATGATATGGCCTAAAATTTCCGAATGCAAAAATCGGACAGTTCTTGGTAGCGGCATCGGGTGTAAAAGGTGGAAGCATATCATTCTCAGGGTGTATTCAGTTGATTGGTTTCTGCGTGTTTGAGGCTTGTGTGGGAATATTCTGGCCATCTATAATGAAGATGAGATCTCAATACATCCCAGAGGAAGCCAGAAGCACTATCATGAACTTCTTCCGCATCCCACTCAACATCTTCGTATGCCTTGTGTTGTACAATGTGAGTCTCCACCCTGAGATTATTTGATCTTTATCGACAGCTAGGGATAATCATACTATCGTCTATAAATAACACTCCTTAAGATCTTGCCAAGAAATTCCTAGCCGAATATTCTTTCCTTGTATGCGTACTTGCTGAGCTTTTCTGTTTGCTGGGGGAAAAGGTGAATGCATTTCCAATGACAGTCATGTTTGGAATGTGCGCAATATTCCTTTTTGTGGCCTCAATCTTACAAAGGAGGCTTATGGTTGTCGCTGAGATTCACAAGTCAAGTAAGTCTTCTACTTGCTTAAGATGCCCTTCTTAACGGAAGGTCTTCTGTTACCTCCTACATTTGATGGATTCGTTTGCCAAGTAACGAGTAATTACCAGACTTAGAGATCCATTATCACGTTTATGTATATGCCCTCATTCAAGTTCATAATCATTTGCAAGAACCCTAGATAAAGTACATGATTCTTCTTGTTCAGGCTTTTGAGATTTTCCTTTTTAAAAAATGAATGTGTATATGTATCCACCAATCGGAAACAAGCAGTTGATCATCTTGGAAAATGGTGATGTGACAAATGCAGGATCACAAGAGTGGAGAGGAGAGAAAGAGATGACGGCAGAGGCTGAACCACTGAACGCTTAAGCAAAACCTTTTGAGTCTCTCCAACCTGATTTGGTAAGGATAATGCAGAACCTCTTATTATTAGGTTATTGTTTTTTATTTCTCCAAAGTCTACTCCTACTTTGCTGAATTTTTTTTAAAAAAATTTTGATTGTTAATTCTCTCACGCTTTGGCCTTTGTGGCCATTTAATCTTTGAATCTGGAACCATCTTTGGTCGATTATTGTTGTTCCATCTTCTCTTTCTTGGTTTTTTTTTTTTTTTTTTTTTTTTTTTTAACAGGAGTTGCATTTCCCTCTGGGGGTGTAAAACGATCAGAATTGGATGACTCCCCCAATAATGTGAAACGATCAGAATTGGATGACTCCCCCAATAATGTGAAAACTTCAATTCTGATTTTTTTTTTATATAAGAAAAGGTAGAAACTTGTGGTTTTAAAACAGAAGCTCTCAGCCCTCTCGCAAGACTCGAGTCTAAACCATAATTGTTGGGTGGGATCCGAAATCTGGGAATCCAAGACTACGGAAGATACAAAGTTGAGTTCTTCAACGGCGAGAATCCAAGTCACGTGTTCAATTGCAGATTTCATCAATCAATGCCTGCCTACGGGAGAGGGAGAAATGAACAAGCGATCCGCTGGTTCCACCTTAAGTGGATGCGTGCCCACACCGCAGTCCAAAGCTTACAACTAACGAAAGAGTGAGCTGTATCACCAAGCATTCTCCCGAGTACAGAGTCTTGATGGTTGGACGTGTTTTGGGAGGGATTGCCACTTCTCTGCTGGCCCTCTCGCAAGACTCGAGTCTAAACCATAATTGTTGGGTGGGATCCGAAATCTGGGAATCCAAGACTACGGAAGATACAAAGTTGAGTTCTTCAACGGCGAGAATCCAAGTCACGTGTTCAATTGCAGATTTCATCAATCAATGCCTGCCTACGGGAGAGGGAGAAATGAACAAGCGATCCGCTGGTTCCACCTTAAGTGGATGCGTGCCCACACCGCAGTCCAAAGCTTACAACTAACGAAAGAGTGTGTTATTACAATCAACCAAACACTCGGAAACAGGGAAATCTATATTCCAAGTTTAAGAAAACACATACTATGTTACCCACATCTCCTCCACAAACTCAACTATTGATTTGTGGTGGAGGACAATATAAAAAAAAACTGAGTGAAGAAGAAGAAAGCACAAAGGGGGGATTGTGTGGAGTTTTTATTTTTTATTTTACATGTCAAGGAGATGTTATGTACAGTTAGTTGGGAGAGGGCTCCTGCTGCTTCTTCATCCACTTCCGTTTCGCATTCTCTATAGCTTCTTCTCTCAACCTCATAAGCTCCTGCAACGACTGTTGAAACTGCGACTCTATTGTGCTGAGCTCCGCCTCCAGATCCTCCGTCTGTTCATTGCTCAACATCGACAAACAGCACATGCTCGAGTCTTTTGACATCACCGAGCATGAATCTTGAAACGTCAGCGAGCTTGTCAGAGACTCTGCCAGCCGAGAAACTTCCAGTGCGCCCTTCTTGTTCTTCCCCTCGTATGAATCACACACCCGATACCCGATATCCCAATCCCGGCCACAGCTGGCATTTGAGGTGACAGCAAAGTAGTACTCGGCAGATATGTCTGAATTCACTGATCCTCCAGCTTCTTGATCCTTTGACCGCGGATTCATGTTATCTCCAGCAGGTAGATTAGGAGAATTTTGAACCGATGCATACAAACTGTTCAAATGAGTTGAAACGTCACAGGATATGGACTGGCTCCTGTTAGAGATCAGCTTCAATATCAATTCATCGATCATCTCAGATACGACTATAACCTCTCGGCTTGATAGATCAAGCTGTTCAACCATTTCCTCTGCAATTGCAGTTGCTGTGTCCGAATTCATATAGAATGCAAAATGCACGATTCTAGCTTGACCTGTACCTGTTAGGAAAACCGAGAGTATATCTTATACTGTAAACAAGTGAAAACAGTAAAAAAAATCAATCAGCAGAACATTTAATAACGAACCAGATAGATCAGCGATACGCAGAGTCATCGAGGCCGTGACATCATCAGTTCTCTCCCCTCTCAACCTGAACTCTTTATCCTCTGCAACCCTCTGAAGTTCAAGAGCGTGAAGCCAAGGGTATTCATGGTTGCTTTTAAGAGAGGAGCAAACAGAAACACTTTTATTATCGTTATGATCCATTTCCATGGGCAGATGTTCAGGTTGGGTCTGTTTGACAGGTTTAGAAGTTCCATTGGATGTCACGTTACAGAAAGAGTTCTTAACACCATCTGTTGCCAGGAACGGGTCATTCAAGAGCTCAATAGCAGTTGGCCTCGACGAAGCATGAAGAAGACATTTTTCTATGAATTGCTTAATTTGACAATCATCGACTTTGCTGAGAGATTGAGGCTTTATACCCTGCAAATACTATGTTTCAAAGAGGAGCTTGATTTCAACGAGAAAAGTGAAGGATTCTCAAGAGTCTTGAAGACTTACAGAGGTAACCTTCTTGTATATTTGAGCCTGGTTTCTGCATTCACTGTATGGATATTCACATGTAACCATCTCCAACAAGCACATACCGAAAGAATAGATGTCAACGAGCTCATTGTATTCCTCTTCATATAGCTCGGGTGCCATGAATTCGGGAGTACCTGAATACATTCGAAGTTATTAGTTATAACCGAAATGCCAAAGATAAGGGGCAAAAAAATTGAAAATCTATTACCAATAACGCTTCGAGCAGTGGGTTGCTGCATAACTGCTGCAAGCCCAAGATCTCCAATTTTGACCTCTCCGGTATTTCCATTGACAAATATATTGTCACACTTAAGATCCCGGTGAATTACAGGGGGGTTCTGAGCATGCAAATACTGTAAGCCTTGAAGAATCTGTCTTGCCCAGTTCTTGATGGCCTTGGGATCAACCTTCTTGTGTGTCTTACGATACCTTGGCACCAAAAGAAATCAAAACAAGACAATAGAGCCGACCCATGTGATACAAAACGAAAAGGAAGACAGGAAACAGAAGAAAACTGAGGGAGATTTTGAAAATGGCAGAGAGCTAAAGAGACTTACGCCCTCAGACTACCGGAGGTGAAAAGCTCTGTGATCATATTGATGGTCTTGTTCTTATCGTCTACCCAAGAGTGGAAGAGTTTGATAATGTTTTCATGTTTCAACGACTTAAGCAGATGAACTTCAGAATATAGCCTTTCAAGTTGGCCAGGCATCTGCATTACATCTTCTATGACCACTAGGTTCCAGGCAACTTCAATTCCATCAGCTTCATCAAATGCCTTATACCTGGTTAAGACGAAGAGGTAATAAGGGAAGAGTGGAAAACTCAAGAGACAAAATTCAGTAGCCTTCCAATATAAACATAAAAGCACAGGACTTCGAACCATACACAGTTTTGAAGGCTCCTTTCCCCAAGATGTCACCATACTGGAGGAGAAGAAAACAAAGAAATCGATTAATCTTCTTTACTAGAAAAAGGAAATAACCGAGCAAGCGCAGCAGAACATTGAGGAGCCGCCAAACAGCTCGCAGAACATTGAGGAGTTTGCATTCTCAAGTGCTGTCATAAGCTCTGGGTAAAGATCATTAAGCTATCTCTTTCCAGAAACATGAAGAAAAACAACAACAAAACAGACGTAAGGATGTCCTTAAATTTCAAAGCACATTGATGGAAAAGGAAAACATTACTGATAATCAACAGTCCGTTCAGACAATGTAGAAACCCTGATTATCGTCCTCATTGGAACCTATTACTCTATTAGGCCGTCTGCATTCGATGTAGAAACGAACCAAGACAATGTGAAAGAGAATTTCCGAACAAAATTCTGTATATCCATGTCGAGCTTGCACGCGAAATAACATGAAGCAGATGCCTACCCTAATGTACCGACCAGTAGGATCTTTATCGGCGAACTCAACCTCCTTCGTCGGCGATTTGTGACATAAAATTCCAGAACCAGACGCCATATACAGAAAACAAGAGGAAGAATAGGAGAACCAAGAGAGAAACAGAGAGAAGAGGAGCGAAAGGAGAGATCAGGGGCAAAGGCCGAGGTCAAGAGCAGGAAGAGGAAATGGAAAGGTGACGATCGGAGAAAGCTTCACAGGCGAAGCAGTAGGAGTCGATCGCCGACCGAAACCGAGAACGGAAACGGAGTTTTACAGCGAAGGGAACCCCCATCTCCGGCCGACCCGATCACCACCGTCGTTAAGTTCCGTCACTGTTATTCGATCCATACCTCCACCATTTTTTTTTTTGAAAAGACAGAATTTCGCGGGTGGGATAGAGGCGAATCAGGTAGATGCAAAAAAAAAAAAAAAAGAGAACCCGGAGATAATCCAAAGGATTTGAGGGGAAAAGAAAATCTGTCTTCGACCAAATCCAAAATCGCTGTCCTTAGGGAAATTCGCGAAACAAAGGGGATACGTTGCAACAACTAAATTTCAACGGAAACAAAACGGTGTCGTAAGTACAGAATTAGTTTACTAATTACTGTTGGTCATTTCGGTTATTAACCGAATAACCGAACCGAACGAATAAGATATAACTGTATCCGAATCGAACTTGATATCAAAACCAAACAGTTATGATTTCTTTAAACCAAAAATTCCGAAACTGAACTGAACCGAATGAAAAATAAGAAAAAATCTCAAAAAAAAATTCACTTTCAAATTAAAAAAAAAAACACTAAAGTTTTTATTTTATCAAATAAATATTAAACTTTTTAAGTTTGACAAAACAAATATTCAACTTTTTTACTATTGTCAAAATAAACAAAATAATTAATGTATCACATAGAGATCATAGAGATGCGAACATATCAGATTATTTTATTTAGTTTTTTTTACCATCGAAGAAAGTTCATGTATTATTTTGGATCACTAAAAAATTTTAGTTTTTTTTATAATTGCAGGAAAGTTTATGTATTTTTTTATCACTTACAAAAATTCAGTATTTTTTTAGATTCATTTAAAAAATTTAATGTTTATTTGACAAAAAATAATTTTCAATGTTTTTTGTCAAAATTGAAAAGTTTAGTATTTTTTTATTTTCCCAATAAATGACCGAAAAAACAGAAAAAAATTTTAAAAAAATGAGTTTTTTTTCTGAAAACGAACCGAATTAAAATTTAGATAAAAAAAACAAATGGTTATAGTTTTTCTATAATCGATATAATCGAATACGAACCGAACCCCGAAATGGTCAGTCTGGTAATAATATTATGGAAAGAGAAGAACAGTACAAATTGTGATGACAAGGAATACAAAATCCATAACCTCAATCATCACATCTCCCATGTGTTTATAGGCTCCAAGCAGTGCGACTCGAAACGGATGATATACTCAGTACCATTGCCGCCGAACCTAATGAATCTGACTGCCAGTCCCCGTTGTAGATACGGAGTGTGAAACAGTAGCTGTGCATGACGTCGACCCAGATGGATCGGCAAAAGGGGTGATGGGCTCGTCGTGCCGAGCAGCTAGCTTAAAAGCGGGAGAGGTGTATCAGGTCCTCGTGGGATTTCGCACATTATATATCCTAGTTTCTTGGCCAGCGTCAAAAACCATTGTCTTTTTTGTTAATGTGTATATTCCTTGTAAAAACCCTCGACCTGGAGTGAACTTACAAATTCCAGACCTAATACAAAGTGACTTGCAATCAAACTAGTAACTCTGATGTCTACTATCAACAAAGATTCAGATAGAGCTCATTAAACACGCTTCACATTTCGGGTCTTAACTCAGAAACAAGTGTTATTGAAGCGAGCCGACGAAGCTAAGAGGAACGGAGACGGATTCTGAAGCGTGGGAGAGGTTGAGGGCTGGGTCGGGGACAGTGATGGAGCCCTTGTCTTGCTGTAAGAGTTGAACAAGTGACCAGAACACTTGTAGCCTTGTCACCTCTCCTTTTGCCTGCAATATTCATTCATTCATTCACCACACACGCCCCTTAGTTTCTTTTCTAAAGAACAGTAGTATCAGCTGTTTCTATCTTCTTTTTCATATTTTATTTACCTCGACAATGAAATGAGCCCAGATTCTGCCGTCTCGTCTTTCCATGACTCCTTTCAGGACGTTCAACCCGAAGCCTTTCACTGCATCGGCAATCTCCAGGAATCGGCCTTCTTCCTCACATAGCATCTGCCACCCAGATTTAACAATTATATACACACAAACACGGAGCACTGAAAATGTAAAAGATGGTATCCACATAATATCAAACCTCAATGAGCATTTGGCCGGGCCGGTTCAAGTCCTCCACTATGATCGGACAGACAACTGATTCATCCCCAACTTCAAACGCCCAAGTCGCTCCGTTTCTGTCTCCCGCTAGTTGTTCTTCAACTGACGATCCTTTCTGGTTGATCAGCTGCATCAGATCTATCAGTTTCAGAGAATTCCGACATTATACGAAATTACATTTGAAGAATCTGTTGTTTCTGCTGTGTACCTTTGGCTCGTAAGGTTGTTTGAGTTTGTCTGCGTACTTGGCTATGCTTTGCATGAAGAGCATGTGTTTTATTGTCAGATCAAGCAGCGCATCGATGCTACACTGTTGGATGAAACACCAAGCAATTCAATTTAACATCAATCTACAGAGATGTAAAAGGATGTTTGTCCAAGAAACTTATTCAAAGAAACCACTTTGTACATTGATCAAGAAAAAGATGTTACCTTTGCCCCATTTGGAATCATCCCTCTCAGCTCCTTGATTCTGTCTTGTATCATCTGACGGTCCTTTGGCCTCGGTCTCCCACTCTCTCCAGCCTTTGCTCTCTTCTTTTTCACACCTTCCTCTGCTTTCTTAGACGACCCTGTACTTGAATTCCAACCAAAGTTGCAGCTATATCTGTCATCAACCCACAAACCCGGTTGCGTCTTCACAGAAGTCTCTGACTTGTTTAAAGGGTTACAGAAACTCGTCTTCTCCGAGCTCCGCATCATTTTCTGAGACATTACGTTGCAGCTCTGTGCAAAGAAACTTGAACTCTGGGCGGATGAAGTATCAAGTTTTCGTCTTTTGGTTGGATTCAGACAGAAATCTTCAGAATGTGTCTGATCGGTGATTGAACTGGAAGGATTGCTGAAACTGCTGCTTATCAGTTCAGCGATTCCAAGCTCTGAGAAAAGTCCCTTAGGAGGGCGAGCCAAAGGTGCTTGCCCAAACTCGGATCTCTTCTCTGAGACATGGCCATGGCTGGAGAAAGGATCTTTGAAGTTCAATCCCAAAACATCAAAAAGATCGTTTTCGCTGTCTTGGATGACCACAGATGTCTCCTGATGATCGCCTGAGCAATTCTTGTCTTCAAGTAAAGAGCCTGGAGACACTGAGTCGCTGTTTAAGGGACCGTTCTGTTCAGGAGACTCAGCGAGAAGTTGGCAAAGATCATCCAACGAGTAAGAGTTCAGAATGTCGAACCCAAACTCTTCACATGAGTTATTTGAATCTCCTGTGTCTCGGACAGTCTTAGATACCTCGGAAGTGAGAGATGAAGGCTCAGGACTGGGCAAAGAACAAGGATTAGCGGTAAAGATATCATCAAAGCTGAGTCCATGAAGAGATTGGTCATGCATATCAGGGCTTCTCAGAGGTACCAAAGAGGCGAATAAAGAATCAAGATCGAGGGTTTCAAGGTCTGATGAACGGGGAGGAGATGCTGCTGAAACGTGATCCATCGCCAGCTCTAACGCTGTTGTCGTTTCTTCCAATATCTCAGGGCTCTCCTGAATCTGCAACAGAGTGAAAAAGCACTTCCTCGTCACTTAAAGATTCTCCATCAAATGGAAAAACATCATAGTTATTGTAAAAACTGTGCAAACCTTCCTAGTGGATCCAAACTGAGCAACGCCTCGAGATCCAACAGGAACCACAAGAACAGTCTGCAATTCATTTTCAACCTGAAAATAATATCAAACACGTGAATCATGAATTGAAGATCTTTGTAAAACGTATTTTCTTAATTATGTTTGGACATAAAGATAAAAATGCAAAGCTCTAGTAATTCATGGTGCAACTGTGCTCGATTACCAGTACAAGATACTCCTTTTATGTGTGTTCTTTTTCTTCTCAATGACTAAGGATAAGTCTCCACAAGGATCGATCTTACATTATAACAAAAAAAAACATACAAATATGTCGGAGAAGAAGAAAAAAAACCTGGAAAATGTCGTCAGCTGTGTCACGGGACATCCAGCGGTGGTTTCCGGTTAAAGCTGCCTCTCCTATGATTCTGTATCGATGAATTAAAGACATGAACTTTACACATATACTATGCATATAAAACATAGAGGAAAAAAAAAGGAATTATACATATACATATATATATATATATGCGTGTGTGTGTGTGTGTAGCTTACCCTTCGCCAAATATATGAACCTGCAGAAGCATATCATCAACAGCTGTGCGAAATTGTTCATCGTGGTAAGCATCCCCCATTGTTAATAACCTGTCGTCATCATCATCTTAGTTTTTGATGCAATATGCATAGTTTGACATGCGCCAAAAAATTTACACATTCTCCTTTTTCAAAAATGGTCAAGCAAAGGTTCCCTTTAAAAGGAGAATATATTGGGGAATTTCTCCGATCAAAGTGTCAAGACATCCATTTTGTCAGAAAGAAAATTGAACAGAATCTCCTGTTTGCTAGCTAGCTAGTTTCCCGAGGAAATAATAACTTAGACTTCTTCTGATGAACAAACCAACAAATATGTAAGGCAATTACCAAATGCAGCATGTAATTCTTCTTCCAAGGAGAAAAATGAGAGAGAGAGCAAAAGAATGTGACAACATCAATCAGGAAAAAAAAAAGGAGACAAATTATGAATGATAAAGAGAGGGGAAAAAAAGGAAACTTTACATGGAATTTATATGATCATAGCGCCAAAAAACAGCATAAGACCATCCATGGCTGCAACAAAGGCTCTTCAACATATGCTTAAGCTCCGAACCCATCTTCTTCTTCCTCAGCAAAAGAATCGAGACCCCGAACTCACAAACGATCAATTCCCTCGCTGAAACAATAGATATATATATATATATATGCGATCGATCTTCTTCTTACAACAAAGGGTAAAATATTTTTGCCTTCGATCCACAGAGACTATAAACTTGGAGGGTCTTGAAATATCTGATGCAGATGCAGATGCAGAAACAGTGAGAAGCTCTTTGTGGGCTTTGCTTTTTGTCGAAGCGAAAGAGGTTAAAAGCTTCTGTTTTTATATATGAAGCCAAACATATATCATGAGCTCCTGGTTTTTTCCATGTATAATGATACGCCCCTCTCTCTCTATATATAATTATGGAAGAAAATAGAAAATGTCAGTAATTCGATGGAGAAGCGGCAGAGCCTTTTGTCTGGGAAGAAGACAGATATTATATTCGGAAAAAGCTATAATTATAAATACATATACTCTCGCTGTTGCTTTGGGTTTCCGGTAACCGGTGACGTTACAGCTTTGAATATTACCAAACAGGCACCTGCTATAGCCGGTTGCGGGAACTATACTATTACCTTTTTTTTTATTGAAAAATCATTAGCTTTTATGGGACACTTATTTTTGTTTTCTCGCATTAAACTTTTAAGATCTCTCATATAAGATTCTACATAAAGATGGAGATTGTTTTGCTTTTAATGTTGGATTAATGTGTAGTTGATTCATGAATCTACGGTGATTTCATGATTTTTCGTCTCATTTATGATTTATTTATATCGCGATTAATTTTTGAATGATATCATTTCTCCGGAATATAATGTGCTTTTTAGATTTCGACAAATCAAATTTGATTTATTACAACACATGAGAGGGAGTAAGCGTTATAGAGCCTGTAAATGTGTTCATATAGACAAACAAAACATATTTTTGCACACCGTGTTTAGAGTATATTATAAATATAATCAAAGGCATAAAAATTGATCTAATTGAATATTGATGACGTCTATACTATAGTTAGGATTTAGAATTTAAATCTCACTATTTGTATAATTTAAACTAGTAAACTAGTCTAAACCAAGAACAATCGTAATTAATTGAAATTTTGAAAGAAAAAATATTATATTGTCAAGATAAGCATTCAAAAGGGTAAAACCCATAAAAATTCTCAAACTTGTAAAATGGTAGAAAATAAATTCTCAAACTTTCCGCTTAACAAATTTATTCTCAAACTTGCAAAATGAGTCATTATAATTCTGAAACTTATAAAATATATCATTATAATTCTCAAACTTGTTTTTGAATCAATATCGTGAGTTTTTTTTATATTAATTAATAAGTTTAGGAATTATAATGATAACAATTAACAAGTTTGTGAATTATAATGATATATTGTGTAAGTTTTTGAATAAATTTATCAAACAAAAAATTTAGTAATTTGTTTTCAACTATTTTATAAGTTCAAAAATTTGTAGAGTTTTACGCAGCGTATCTAAAATCTAATGGAACACAGGTTTCCGTCAGTATTTAAATATATATATATATATAGGTACTATGAGAATTGGAGCTGGACCAACACAAAATTAAATTGAAAAAAATGCAAAATATTATTGAAACACATGTCAAGGTGATCCCCACCAGGGGAGATAATGGGGCTGTGGGGCTTGTAGGGATCATTCTCTGATTTGCACATAGAAGATGCCTCTCTCCCTCGTTTCTTGAAAACGAATTTTGAAAATTAAAACAATATATTGTTTTATTTATTTTTTAAAATGGAAAGGATTCTACTTTTAACGTTATTTAAGTAACCAACAAAATCTGCCAATTGATGAGTATTTATCTGCCCATTAATGCGTCAAATAATCAAATTTTTAGGTTTAATTTCAAAATCATATGGTTTAAATAATATTTAACTTGATTCAATACCTTAAATATGATGTTTTAGATACCATATTTCGGTACAACACACTCTGCATATTTATCCATTTTTCTATATTTTTTTCCTTATAACGATGGATGTCCAACGGTGGTATTGCAAATTGTAACGACCATACGCTTATGTATTGGTCATTGGTAAGTGAACCAGATAGCAGTTGTAAACAAAAAAAAAATTCTGCAAGTTTGCAACGGGAGTTGGTCACAAACATGTTGAAATGTGTTACAAATTTCAAAAGCAAAATGAGTTTTTTTTTGGTTTAAAAAAAAAAAAAAACTCATTTTGCTTTTGAAATGAGTTGCCCAAGTCATACATACATACATGCATACATACATGCATACATACATACATACATACATGCATGCATGCATACATACATACATACATCTTACCACATATGGAGGGACTGTTCCACATGTGTTTGTAGGGTATCCAAAGTCCGTTTTATTAACTATTTTGCTTTATAAAAACAAATAACACACACAAAAACAAAAAACGAACAATTAATATATATATATATATATATATATATATATATTCATTATATTCTCTCATGTTGTAGATATTGTTGGAGTTATAGTCTCAGTATAAGGATCAAATTTACGATTGTCATCATCGACACAGAAAATCATTCTCCGCTTATTATTAAAAGAGTAAGTTTAGAACTATTACATCCCGTTGCACTTAATATCATTTTAACTACCCAATTATTTTTAATTCAACTAAATGTATTTTGAAACTAATAAACAGTAAAAAAAATCGTAAAGCTTTCAATTTGGGATGAACTTCCAGCCTATATCCGTTCACAAATGGACAAGTTGAATGTCAGAAGGAGCATCATGATTGTTACTGCTGTGATCCCAAATATTCTCGACGATACTTCTTAAAACATATGCATCTATATGGATTTTTCATATATACATTGATAAATAAAATCAAGGCATTAGTTTAATTTTACTACAAGTTTTTATGAATCAGGTGTTTTATCACTCACTTCATCATTGTCTATCCCCACAGTAGAAGCAAAGGTGATTAAGATTGGGACACCAAAATCTTGAATTATGGTATGATAATCTTGACTTCATTAAGATTCCGCCTCTTCGTACAATGAACAGTATTCCAACACACTGACTTTTTCACATTCGGGTTGTATTTCGGTTCAAATGCCCCTCAAGAAAACACGGTGTTTTTTTTTTACTGATGGAATGTTTAATTTTACAACGAAGTGTAGATTTGCTGTATACGGTGTGTCATAAAATGCCCACCTCGGGGCGTTTTTATTTTTAATTCGGGGAGAATATAACCCCATAATTTGGCCACGCTCAATCATGGCCGTCCATAACAAAAAGTCAACGGCATCAAGATTTTCCCAACTCTCTTCTTTCTCCATCATTTCGACTCAAAATGGTGTCCGAAAGTGAAGAACTAAATCCAAAAGCGAGATTTTATGTTGCAAGTTTGTTTACACTTTGAACAATCCTTTTATTATTACCCTTTTTTCTCCTACTTTCTTTTTTGTTCCTTTGGAAACCAAGAAGACGAACCCACATTTGATCATTGGGCATAAATTTCAATTATTATGTCATTTTCAAATTGGGAAAAAAAAAGGAAAAACACGGCGCCTTTTCTCCAAAGCAGAACACCCTTTAAGCCTTTCGCCCACTATCCCATCTTTAGACATTTTCACTCGCACGATGAATACACGTAAAAAATATATATGCATGTATTATACGGTGTAACTTATCCTTGCCCGAAATCAAAATCCCAACACAATACTTATATATTGGATAGAGTATGTTATGTGTCACGTAACTTAATGTGTAATCGTTGTATCACGTTCTCAATATATCTATAGTTACACACAATCAAAATGCGCTGAAATGAGGCAGAAAAAAAAAGATTGTTACAACTAAGAAAATTGAAAAGGAGATGGAAGCCACGCTTTGTCCAAGCAGATGGAAAAGGGCATGCAAAAGAGGACCAATCTCAATGGGATATTTGACAAGTAACTATTATGGCGATGTTATGATGTTATTCCCCACTATCCACTACCATGGCATGCCATTCCATTATTTATATATGCATCTATATATACTCTCCGTTCATATATATATAGTTGAATACAATTTAACGGAGTAACGTTTTCCGACGATAATCTCGACAATTTGGTAACTATCATATCAAATGCTAGCATGTTTATAGAAATGTGAATATAAACGCATGTTTTATTCTTTTTTTTCTGCGTCAGCCTTAGTTATGGTGTTGATGACGATGCATAAACCCTGTATACATCAATCGTGGTAATAGTTTAAAATTTGTGCATGCATGGGATTCTCTTGAAGACGTATCATTAATTAGCTTTTATGTAGTAGTATATATTATTTTACCAAAATTACATGTAATATTATAATGTCTTCGCAACGATTTGGCGCACCAAATTATCTAACATTGACGGCCTAGTTATTGTCTTATCTTTCCTTTTAAAAAATAAGACTTCAAGTGGTTTAACAAATTAACCCATTGAGTAATGAAAGAATTGAACAATAACAATATGTTTTTGGTAAAACATAATAATATTACATGCAACCCAAGACACTACAAAAAAATCCTCGAATTCCAACGGATTTTCCAACGCATTTGTCCGTTGGAAATTTTTCCAACGGAATTTCACGGTTTCAACGGCGTTTCAACGACGATTTCCGTTAAAATTCCGTTGAAAATTTCCAACGGATATCCGTTGGAAACACCCGTTGAAAATTTTTAACGGAATTTTCAACGTATTCAATTGAAAAATTGGGTTGGAAATTTCCAACGGATTAACGTTGGAAAAATCGGTTGCAAATTTTTAACGGAGTTCCAACGGATGTTTGTTAGAAAACAATTCCAACGGATGCCGGTTAGAATTTTTTTTGGAAATTTTTTTTAAAAAAAAAATCCAACGGAATTCCAACGGATGCCGGTTGGAATTTTTTTTGGAAATTTTTTTTAAAAAAATTCCAACCGAATTCCAACGGATGCCGGTTGAAATTTTTTTTGAAAATTTTTAAAAAAATTTCAACGGAATTCCAACGGATATCGGTTAGAAATTTAGATTTTAATTGAAAAATCAATTGAAATATATATATATATATATATATATATTTGAATTCATATATATGTATGTATAATATATATTTGTTATGTATATATAAAATATATATACACAAAATATACATGTTGGAAGAGTTCTAATTGGAACTCTAGAGTTAAGGAGGATTGAGCTGGAGCAGTGGAATGATGAGTGACCTACTGGGAAGTGAGTTTCGGGATCGTGGTTTGGTCGGATCGGATTGGTGTCGATGTCGGTGTCGGGTCGGGTCGGGTCGGTGTCGATGTCGGGATCGGGGTCGTGTCGGGTCGGGAATATGTTTCGAATTTTTCGTTGGAAAATTCCAACGGAATGCGGTTGAAAATTCCGTTGGAAAATTCCAACGGATATCGGTTGGAAATTCCGTTGGAATTTTCCAACGGATTGCGGTTGGAAATTCTGTTGGAATTTTTCAACCGAAATTGCGGTTGGAAATCCGTTGGAAAATTCCAACGGATGCCGGTTGGGAATCAATTTCCAACGGAAAAATTCGTTGCAATTCCATTGAAAATTCCAACGGTTTTCCAACGGACACCGATTTCTAACGACGAAATTTCAACGGATAAATCCGTTGAAAATCCGTTGGAAACGTTAATTTCCAATGGAAATTTGGCCATTTCCAACGGATTTACCCGTTGGAAATGACCATTTTTTTTGTAGTGAGAGTTGGTGGTCCAATAGTTAAGATATGACAAAGTATTTCTCAAGATCATGAGATTGATTCCACTGATGGAGAGGAGGGAACACAACTAATTGTACGACTAAAAACTGACTCCGGATTCATAAAGATTAAGTGGGCCGAATACCCACTGAACCTCGTGATTATCAAAAAATTTAAAAACAATAGTACATGCAATGCAAAACATTGTTTTTTATTTGTAAATAGGGTCGTCTAATAGGGTGTGCAAGTGATGTTATAGCACAGACCCCCAATTTTCCAGGGCCTCATTCTTCTCAAAAAAATAATTTTTAAAATTTGATAATTATACTGGTTTTGAATAAAAAGATAAAAGTTATTATAAAAAAATATAAAAATTTAATTTTGATTAAATTATGGTATATTTGTTTTATTTTTTAGTAGTCTTATATTTGTTGAAAAAATTGAAACAAAATAAAAATAGAATTTGATAACAAATATAAATAATTTTAATCAATAGTATATATTTTAGAAAAATCTTAAACAAATTAGTATATAAGAATATTTCAATCAAACAAAGTTAATTTTAATTTATAAAAATTAATATATAGTGAATAGGATTTCTGATAATTTTGAGACGGTCTTGTTTGTAAATATATAAAAAATGGCTTAAATTAACTTTTAGATATGGGAGCCAAAGTTTTAACAACGGTCTCTCTTCACTTCACTTTTTATTTTAGCATGTATATATGACATAAGATGATTGACCTATTATAGTTATAACGAGTGAAACTCAAGAAAATGCATGAACATGAACATATGGAGAGAGAGTACATTAATTAAGAAAAGGTTAACGACACTAATGATGCAATCATAGAAATTCGCAATCTCCAAGGCCGAGCAGCATCGATCACTGAAGCTACAGAACATGACTGTGGTGTTATGGTGCACTGCGACCCATACAATTATTTCCCCACTTCTGACAGTAACACCTTTTTCTCAGGGAATGTCTCTTCTTCGTATTTCTCACCGATTTGTTTTTTATATATATAAATTTGTCCCTTCTGTCTTTTTTGTCTTGTGTTGGTGTTTGCCTCCAAACATATTATGTGAGAGTGGACTCCCCTTTCTTCTGCATTTACCTTGACCCTTAATTTGTTTTCTTTTGTTCCTAATCTTCGATTTACCATTACCACTGCACTAATTATTACATTAATCTTTATCATGATTATTTACTTTATTTTATCCTGTATAGTGAAACGGCTGGTGATATTTATCTCGAAATTTACACATCTCTATTAACTATTTATTGTTTTTTTTGTTAAAGCATTAGCCACGTATTGTTGTTGGTATAGTTTTTTTTATAATCCGAAAGTTTATCCGAGTTTTTAATCCGACTACACCTTTCAAAAGATTAGGGAAATTCATATAAATATTCATTTCCAAGTGAAGATTCGAATTCGAATTAGAAAGAATTTTTGTTTCTTGAACCACTCAATCTTAGATTTGTTGTTGGTATGGTTGACGCTAACCAGGTGTATTCACATCAGCATTTAAATAAAATTACGTGTACTAGTAGTCCAAATGCATAAATTCGTTTTTTAAAGTGGGGTGAGGATTGAGGAATACATCTATACCATATTCCCCAAAAACGACAGTGGGCCGATTTTCACGAGCGCCGAGGAAGAAAAGATTATAACACGTGGAATACAATGATTGGTTGGTCAGCTCGATGACACGTTGATTTTGAGGCTCAAGTGTCGGTTATAAGGAGGCAACGGAACCCAGCCTGTCAGGTTATCCTTCCCACCTCTCTCCGCATTTTTTTTTCACCTTGGTTACAGGCTTACACTGCCACTCTGGTAAAAGTTTTATTTATTAATTATTAATAGAATGCCGTCTCTTTTTTAGGATGGCCGTGATGATGTGGATTTTGTGGGCTTATTGAGGCCCAATTCTCTGAGGTTTTAATTGGGCTTTGATGTCCATTGCCTTAAGTTTTTTTTTTTTTTTTTTTTTGGTATAAATTGCCTTAAGTTTGCGTTTGTATATGCATCGCGCACATACATACAGCAGTGGCAGTACAAATTTTTGTTTTTTTTTTGTTTTTTTTGGCAAAGAAATAAGAAAGACGAATTCGGGGGGCTTATATTGCAAATTCATCTGTCATGGAACGCGAAGAGGTTTGTCTACTCAAAAGAAAATCAAAGCAATGGATTGCTATGCATAGTCGTCGGTCCAACCTATGAACTTTCGGTACAAAGTCCTTTTATTTATTCCGGTGGTTGAGAGACAAGTCTTGGTCATTAGTTGTAATGAGATTTCTGGACCTAATTATTTAAGTCCACAGCATGACTATTAACGTGTTTCACCAACCCATCATAAAGCCTTTTTTTTTTTCTCGTTTGAGTTCCGAACATAATTTCGCATCTATAAATATAAATAATTTAATATATGTACGTATAAGCAAATGCTATTGCATGTATGTATAGACAGCAAAAATAATTGAATTTTCAACTCAAAGATTTATTCAACCCGCTAAATTCGAAAAAAAAAAAAAGCTTTCAACGAGAAAGGCCCAACAAAGCCCAAATCACAGTGGGGAAAGAAGAGAGAGTCTGAAGGGCGAGAGACGTGCTCTCTCCTTTGAATAGAGAGAGAGAGAGAGAACGGAGATCGGAAAAGAGGAAAACGAAAGGATTATCACACAACAATCGTCAAATTTCGACAGCGAATCTCATCGATAGCCAGTCTCGCAAATCGAATTAGTCTCCGGAGAAGAAGAACTTAGGTGGAAGAAGAATAAGCAGAGAGAAATCGGCGGCGGGAAA